ATTCACTCTCTTTACTCTTTTATCATACATCGTTACAAGATGGTAGCTTTTTATTTATCTTCCTTTTGATTATTTGTGCAAGGTGTTTTTGTATATTATAGATTCGTTTAGGAATTATTTTTATGTATTATTAAAAATTGGGAACGAATAAAATATGCTTCACAGAATTAATATTTTTGGTAACTTTAAAAAGATCATTTAAAGAGGTTATGGTTATGAGCATACGTTATAAGTATGCATACGTCATAACCTTTACATAATGTGGAATTTTTATGGTATTAAATCATGTGCAACTTTCTGTTTCCAATTAAATGTTGCATATACAAGAATTATAAGTATGCATACCTCATAACCTTGACATCATGTGGAATTTTTATGGCATTAAATCAAGTGCAACTTTCTTCCAATTAAATGTTGCATATGCAAGAATTTATGCTAATAGAATATCATTGAAAAGAATTCAGAACATCTGTTAACAAATTCCGCAGCAAATAAGAAGTAGCAACAAATAATAATTACGGTGTACAAAATATGAGATGACAGATAATGTTCACGGTGTTTAATTTACGTAAATGATAATTGGGTAGACCAGATGCGGTTAGAATAAATTCGATGGCTGATTTGGACGCGAGCACTCATTAACGTTCCATGGTGTATATCTCGTTGAAAAGAAGCGTGGAGTCGAGCAGAGAGGATCCACCATAAAGGACTCTCTCTCGTTCACCTTTTCCTTCCTGCTCGCCTTCTTTCCTCTACCCATGCAGCTCGTCCTACCTTCGAGCGGCTGGATCCGCCGCGGTTTCAGTGCCCGGATACTACCTGCCGCAACCGACACGCGTGCGATTCGCTCGCCTTCGTTGCCGAATTTCTGCCAGATCGACGTGACTCCGAGGCAACAAGAATGAAACGAAGAAAAAGGAGGCGACTCGGGGTGAGTGTTAACAATGTTAAACACGGGCAAATGTGCGCAACGTGAAAGGATTTCCTCTTCGGGAGAAGGTTAAAAAACTCTCGTTTCGTGATCTTCGTATGTTCGATATATTCGCTAGTGGTTGAGTTTCAGTGGTTAATTGCTGCGTTCTTCGTTTTTGTGATCGAGGGTGAGAGTTTACTGGAACGGTGGCGCCACTGTACGGGAGTCTATGTTCTTGTACATGTTTCTATGCAATTGAAACTCGTTAGAGCTGTAGACTTCGCATTCGATTGAATGATGTGATTAAATAATTTTGAAGACTTGTTAAATGTTCACGCTTAATCAAAGTCGAATTGTTACTTAACACTAAACCTACCGACGTATAATGTGTACTTAATTTGAAATTAAAAATGAAGTTAAAAAATAAATAAACAAACGATGAAGCATAAATTAGTACACACATTCATTCTTCATCGTAATGAAAATCAATTCTGATTTCAAGAAATGTATTTTAACAAAATGTATACCTTATAATAAGAAACTTGTGGAGCGGTCATTTAACCGGTTTGGTAGTTTTAGTATTAAATTAGACACTTCAAATGTTAGCAAGAGGTCATACACTTTAGATGTATTATTTAGAAAAATAATTGTAGAATTAAAAAATTGAAAGTAATGTGGAGAGATGTCTTTATCCGAAGATCAAGAAGTACATTAATAGTACTTACAATCAAAGAATCTAGGAGATAGGACCAATATTAGACAGACAAACTCTACGTAGAAGACTCTCAAGTCTGATTCCCAAAGTCTCCAACCACTTCTTCACGAATTTCTAACCGACCACAAAAAGAATCTCAAGCTAATACCAGTTTTAAAGATAGCACCATAGAAAATGCAAATTCAAATCGTATCTCTACATGCACAGATAACATGTTTACGCAAAAGCTTTTACTCGAAAACAGCACTTCCATTTCCCAAACTATTTATTGATACAATACAGATTATACCTACATACACAATTATGCATTTTTCGAAAGTATACCTGCATCACGATTAACGTAATTAGCAAAGAAGGCCGAGTAATAGCAAGTTCCCTGATCTAATAGCCAGCAAAAAGGTTAATCAGCTTCCTGCGGTCTTCGTCCCGCTGAAAATGGAAGGAAAATGGTGGCGAGAGGGAAAATCCAGTGATCAAGATGCGACGCGAGATCCCGGCTAGGTATTTCGAAGGACGACGAGGCAATCGGATTGCTCGCACGGCACGCATACCCGATGAACCGTCGTCGAGATACCCTGCCGTCGTTTATATTAATTTGCGCCAAAGACGACGGCGTCGCGATGCCTAGCGTCGCCGATCCCGATATTCTGCACGCGCTTTTTGCCTCTGCGATCTCGCATTATTAAGTTTGATCCACGCATTCCGACCACGGTACACCGATTGAATAATGCGGCCAGATTTTATTCCTCGCGGCCACCAAGAATCTCGTCTGCGATCTCTCTATAGGGCCGAGGAAGCTGCTCGCCTCTCTCCTGTGTGCGTGTGGAGACACGCGTGTGGAGGTCGTGTGTGTCACGCGTGGACACGAGGATACCTGTGTGCGTGGGCAGCTGGACGGGCTAAAACAACGACTCGTTGAATATTGAATCAACGCTACAGTTTCGTCTTATCCTGAGGACATGCCCCTCCTTCGGGTCTGAGGTGTACGATGGTTTGGAAAATTTGGGTAGTTTTCGAATGCTTGAAATTATTGGAATTTGGGGGATTTGAGGATTTGGGGATTTGAGGGTTTGAGGATTTAAGGATTTGAGGATTTGAGGATTTGAGGATTTGAGGATTTGAGAATTTGAGGATTTGAGGGTTTGAGGATTTGAGGATTTGAGGATTTGAGGGTTTGAGGATTTCAGGATTTCAGGATTTGAGGGTTTGAGGGTTTGAGGATTTGAGGATTTGAGGATTTGAGGAATTGAGGATTTCAGGATTTCAGGATTTCAGAATTTCAGGGTTTGAGGATTTGAAGATTTGAAAATTTGGAACTTTAGAGATTTGGGAGGTGAAGTTTTGTATCTTGCGAAGTTGGGATTTTACACACTGAGGACTTCGGAGTTGTGAATACCTGGATTTTGGAGTTTTGAGGTCTTTGGACCTTGGGCTGTTAGAATTTTAAGACGCAGAGACTGCAGCAACTTGAACTTCTGTATCTTGGAGTTTTGAGTTCTTTGGACCTTGGGCTGTTAGAATTTTGAGACGCAGAGACTGCAACAACTTGGAGTTTTGAGTTCTTTGGACCTTGGAGTGTTAGAATTTTGGGACGCAGCGACTGCAGCAACTTGGACTCTTAGGTCTTGGAATTTTGAAACTTTAGAGGTGTAGAATAATATTTAGTAATTGAAAAGTTTGATGAAATTTATTAACAAAGAATGAATAGTTATAATTAATTAAACACAACACAAATAGAATCTCTCGAATTATAAATCTCACACGTCTTTAACTCACGATTTCTCTCAAAGCAATGCACTCTTTGCTTTTCCCCGAAAATATTCGATCACACCAAAAAGACAATCTTCTAGCAATCTTCATTACATGCAAACTTCAATCATACCATACGCAAGCTTCATTCATATTATGCACCTATGTCGATCATACAATTACATAGTACATACACATACACATACCACAGAGGTTTACGATATGGATCATTGAAATATTGCAAAGTCGGGATTTTGCACCCTGAAGACTGCAGGATTACGAATACTTAGGATTTTTAAGTTATGAAGTCTTTGGACCTTGGTGTTTTTTGAGACTTCAACACCGGTCATAAAAATTTTACAGCTTGAAGACAGTGTCTCGTTCAAAATTGTAAAGTTACATGCTTTGAAACACCAACAAACAATATACTCCAGAAAATATGTAAATTTCGAAAGATCGTTTACTACATGAAGTCCTACACAAAAATGACAACAAATTCCCCCCACAGAAAAAGATAAATAAAAGTCTGAACGGAATGCCCCAAGTTCCTCGCACACCAGAATAATTGTATGGTAAAAACAGAGCGGTTTCGCGACGTCCATCCCTTTCTTTCTCCGCGTAGAATAGAAGCAGCGTCTGCGTCGGGTGCAGAGAGGCAGGCTCGTAAGATAAACTCCTCATTAGCGCGACAAACCACGGAGGCTTAATTATGGCGTGGCGGGTGGTCGTTGCCTCGGGTGAAGATCGCGACGCGTTCGAAACGTCGCGTCATAAAAGCTCGACTTTCCACGAGGCTAAGTCGATGTTGGTTCGTCAATTAAATTCGACGAACGACCGGCCGATGACCAGCCTCTTCTTATCGCCTGTTCCGGCACACGCTGAACGTGTGGAGCATCCGTTCGGTGGTCTCGAGGCTAAAGCTGCCCTCTCAAATAACCAGCCAACGGATAATTATCGGGAACCGATTATCGAGGAATTTTCGAGGATATGGTCGAGCAACGGCTCGAACCGACCGTGTCCCGATCCCGTATCTCTTCATTATCTACGTGGCTATCTGATTGCACCGGCTACGAGAGCAGAGCAATTTCTGGTTATGTTATAGCTACTTGCTTCGTGTCTTGCCTTACCTTTTTCGCTAATGTAGATAATAAATAAACGATTTTCGAACGGGATATGGATAAACATTTCAACACTCGATGCTTCTTAAAATATGTTCTTTATTCTGTGGGTTTTACATTTGGCTCATTTTGCTGAAAACGCTGTGTCTACCATTCGTTCATTTTTCGAGATTCTTTTAAATATTTGAACTTTCACATCTTTTTTACCTTTGAACGATTGTAGAATGTCTCTTTAACATTCAGGCAGAAATTTACTTAAATTAATTCGTCATAGACCTGCTACATCCACGCTCCGTAAACAAGTCTAGAAATAATTAAAATAGAAAGAAGTCTCTCAAGACCAAAAGATTCCTTAACGACAGGGGGAAAAGTGACAAAGAATTTTTGTCGGCGACGGAACGAGGTAAGATCCTCTTTTACGCAATTTACACGGTTCTCCGGTAGAAAGAGATGTCTAGATTTACGTGCTCGGGACAAGAGATTGAAAACGTCAACACGTCGAGAGGCAGAAGGACAAATCCACAGACCAGGGGGGACCCGAACCGAACGTAAAGAGCGGCCTTTCGAGTGCAGACTTTACATATTTGTATTCTACTCCGCTCTGTTTGCCGAAACATCATATTTCGGCTCGTACTTGCGTAAAAGAGAAGCCGGTTGTCGTTTGCGTTTGCGCCGAACCATGGACCGCGGTTCCTTCGTGCTCCTCCACGCACCAAGTAGCTCGGTTCTGTCTCTCGGTTCTCCTTACCCCGCTCTTTTCGTACGATCGATCCGGTTATACTTAATTCTACTTCTCTTTCGCTCGATACATAATCACGGATCTGTTGATGTACAAAGCTAGAGACTTTCATGGTAACTTCATTCATTTTTATTCATCTTTAAGGAATTGGGTTCGATGAAAGCATTATGTGTGCTAGGTACTAGGTTGCTGTATAGTGTTGTATAAGATGGAGCAAGGAAATCATTGGTCCTATGGAAAGGATTCTATGAGAATTCATAGTCTGCTTCAAATTTGTGAATTCAGAATTTATTTGTTCAAAATGATACACTGATTGAGAATCTTATGAACAGGTTGTTTAGCTAATCTCTTCATGGAGTAACTCGTACAGAAGTAAGTTTTAGACTGTAGATGAAACTCAAAGTCCTCTACCGATCATCCAGTAGTCGAAGGTTGGTGGCTGTTGGACCTGGACATATTTTGAACTGATTGAGAATCTTACAATTTGTGAATTCAGGAGTCATTCGTTCAAAATGATACACTGATTGAGAATCTCACGAACAAGTTATTTAGTTAATCTCTTCATAGAGTAACTCATACAGAAATAAGTTTTAGACTGTAGATGAAACTCAAAGATCTCCACCGATCATCCAGTAGTAGAAGTTTGGTTCCTGTGGACGAAGGTTGGTTCCTGTCGAACCTAAACATATTTTGAACTGATTGAGAATCTTACAATTTGTGAATTCAGGAGTCATTCGTTCAAAATGATACTCTGATTGAGAATCTTACGAACAGGTTGTTTAGCTAATCTCTTCATGAAGTAACTCGTACAGAAGTAAGTTTCAGACTGTAGATGAAACTCAAAGATCTCCACCGATCATCTAGTAGTCGAAGGTTGGTTCCTGTCGAACCTAAACATATTTTGAACTGATTGAGAATCTTACAATTTGTGAATTCAGGAGTCATTCGTTCAAAATGATACACTGATTGAGAATCTTACAAACAAGCTGTTTAGCTAATCTCTTCATGGAGTAACTCATACAGAAATAAGTTTTAGACTGTAGATGAAACTCAAAGATCTCTACCGATCATCCAGTAGTCGAAGGTTGGTTCCTGTCGAACCTAAACATATTTTGAACTGATTGAGAATCTTACAATTTGTGAATTCAGGAGTCATTCGTTCAAAATGATACACTGATTGAGAATCTTACAAACAAGTTGCTTAGTTAATCTCTTTATGAAGTACCTCATACAGAAATAAGTTTTAGACTGTAGATGAAACTCAAAGATCTCTACCGATCATCCAGTACTCGAAGGTTGGTTCCTGTCGAACCTATACATACTTGATATCCAGCAAAAAGAAAAATGTCTAACCCTCTGTATTTTAATTAAGAATCAAGAAGAAGCAAATAATTCCAGTAAGAGCACAACACTAGATCTCGGTATTGCATTCACGGCGTGTTCCTCTTCACGAGTAACACGGTGAGCAACTTGTCCCTGGAAAACGCCAACAGCCAGCCAGAGAGTCGATCGAACGCGAGACTAAAATTTCACCACCACGTTGGCCAAGTTACACGTACACGTGTGGGAGGTTGGGGAAAAGACGACGGTCGAAGGGGGTGGGTGGGGTTCGCAGACGATTGTACTCTCGGCTCTTTCTCCGGCAGCGCTTTGTAGCCCGTAAACTTTCTTGGTTCGACAACCCTCGCGTCGGATCTCGAGGCGGAGGAAACCGAGAGAAACCGTAGGAATAGTCGAATCGTGCCGCTTTCCAGCCCAAGTTTTTCCATGGTGGTAGCTGCGCAATCATTTGTTCAACACACCGCCAACAAATCCAATACGCTGCCAACCACCGAACACACGGATTTCGTTTTTCCCTTAACTCAACCCCCGTGCTACACCACCTATCGTTTTCTGTTACCTTCTCTCGTCTTTACCCGTCGGTGAAACGTGCCGGTGTAGCTCGTTTTATGGACTCGTGTCGGGGACTGTGTATTTTACAATCGATTTTATATTCCGCGCTCCTTGGAGAGGGAAATTATCCACTGGAAATTGAACTTTAGATAGATTTCGAATTCGGGATCATTTTGACACGTGGGAACTTTGAGAATTTTTCGTTTTGAAACTTTAGGTTTTCGGGATTTTCTAGATTCTGGATCTTGCAATTTCAGTCATTCGAGTTTCAGAAATTTGGGACTTTGAAATCTTTCAAGTTCGGAATTTCCACGTCTGGGGACTCCGGAATTTCTCAAGTTCGAAATGTTCGAATTTCCAAGTTCCACACATTGTAATTTTTAGAAATTTAAAAGTTTGACACATCCAATGTGATCACTTACAAGCTGGAAAGTTTGCAATTTCCAAATTCCAACTTCTGAAATTTTCAAGTTCAAGCTTCAAATTGTGGATCATTGAGGGTTTGAGAATTCGAAAGAATGGATTCTGTACGAAAATGTGTCGTCACGATCACCGAATTTGTTTGTACCAGAAGAAAAGCAACGAAGAAACGTCTCGGTGAGCAGCGTGTTCTGGAAGAGGGCGAACGTGAGAGGACTGTCGGATTTATTCGAAAAACGGTTGGCAGTAGGCGCGCAATGGCGTTTCCGCGTGTGGGTGATGCACGAAGGGCGTGGAAAAGGGCCGATTCCTTAATATCCCCTAGAGAGTCCACGGGGATCAGATACACATCGCTCGGGTTCGCCTATCTATTCAATATGCCTCCATTATTTGGTAGGTGATAAGGTGGAACGGTGGTCTGACTCTTCCCTTGGACTGCCCTACAGTGCCGGCTAGTTCGCTCTGGGATATATCTTCCTCTCCCTAGGGACGCCAGCGATGAACGATAGCCCTCGTTCCCTTCTGTCCCTTCTTTTTCTATCGTTTCTGTTCGCAGGCCCTGGTTGTTTTACAACCCTGTCGAGTTGTAGTTAAAGATCTCTAACGGTGATTTTTTATTCCGCGGATATTTATTGTTTATGATTCGTGTTTTAACGTATTTTTTACGGGGGGTTGCGACCCATATAGCATCTTTAATGGATCCTTGTTCGTGCCATTCACTTCATAAAATAACTGATTGACATTCGAATCGAAGTTCTATTCGATTGTCAAGTTATCGAAGCACTATCCGAATTGTTCACTGCATTATAAATTAACGTTCAAATAATTAATGCTTGTATTTCTCGTCTAAATAATCGACCGGCTGATTAATGGAATCAATAACCGATCGAAATTATTAATCTAGACTTTAGCAACTGATGGCTATTAGAGATTTATGAGCTCAGTTAATCTTTTAGCTGGTTCTATTACCCGCAGTTTGCGAGGTAACCAAATGTAGCCGACGATAATCTCGAGCAGTGTTTGCGATAATGCCGGACAAATAGCAATCTATTTTATTCCTGAACGACAAACAAACAGAGAAACGGTCGAAAGGTAGAAGCAAAAGTACCACGACAAATACCGTAGCTAGGAGCGAAACCGTTTCAAAGCTTGATTATCCCAATCCTCGCGACAAAAGCAAACACCGTTCGCCGTCTGCAACCCCGAACGATGCACTTCGGTCCACGTTCTAAAAGAGAGGAAAAAAACGAGAGAACGTACACGGGAATAAGTATAAAAAGAAAAATCGTTATTCCCGTGGTAGTGGATGCGAAGCTCGTAGCAGGACCGCGGGTTCGTTCGCGAGGATCTCGTTCATTCGGCATGGAAGTCGCGACATTCGACCTTGCTTGTCGAATATCGCATAAACGTGGCCCGTTTTCATATTCCACTTTCTAGCTCGTTGCACCCTGTTCGCCGGTTTCGCACAGTTTGCGAGCAAGAAACTGCTTTTCAGGATAGCTTTTCACCGAAGAAACATGGTGTACGAGGTCGCGTATAAAAGGTGGCCCTATCTCGACTCGTATCTCCACGGTCCCTGCGAAACCGCCAGGGGTGTCAGCTTTGAGGGCGCACAATGGGCCCCATATGTTTGCGGGGGTGTATAACGCCCGGTTCGCCACCAGGGACCTCGATCGACCCTTTCTTCGGGGAAACGTTCCCGCGATTCGTATTCCGGCTGCTGCGATGCAATTTTTTCCACGTTATTTTTCTCTCGTTTCCCCGCAGTACCTTCGCTCTGGACACCGGTTTCGCGGACGCTTTTAATTTGTAATTAGAAACGAGGCCGGCTGCGTCGAATCTTCCCTCTATCTTGCACGTATCACGATTACCGTGATACGATGTTACTGGTTTTTCCGCTTTTTTTTATAATTATGTTCGAATAATTTCGCGATACGAGGCTTCCTCGCGACGCGCTCACGGTCCGCGCTATTAAATAACGCGTATAAATTGATACTCGATCTACGCGTTAATTAATTTGGGTGTTATCTTCACGGTGTACGACGATTTCGTTTAATTACCAAAAAGCACGCGAGAGTTTAATATCGTCGGGCGGATAAACACGACGTGTCGCGGGGCGAGTTTTAATTTCGGGCGCGTCGACGCGTTCTCTACACCGAATAGCGTGACTTTTCACCAGGTGTTGGCTTTTTCCGCGTTACGAGAGACTGCGACATCCGCGTCGAATATATCGAAGAGGAAAGGTTGTCGATACACGAATACGTTTCTCGCTGCGACGCGAGAAAGAATATTAAATGCAGTATCCGAGGTATTTCCAGACGGAACAGGAACGTATCGAATCTTCGCCGACGAGGAACCTCGTCTGTCCAATAGATAAATAAATTAACCGTCGCTTTAAAGGCAACGTATCGTATAAAATATTTCCATTCCGTTTCATTGCCGCGGCATCGTATCAACGAGCAGTTAAAAACGTGGATTCTTTTTTATCCGTACCCACACAACGAAGAGTCGAAAATCGCGCGGAACAGTACTGTCAATTACTATAAATTCACGAAGCCGATCGATTCGATTGGCTGGTACAAAGGAAATCGCTGAAAATTCCCAGGCTTCGAAGCAAAGAAGATTAGAGACGGAAAGACTCGACGCGAACGAGCGAGCGCCGCGACGACATCCAATTAGAGGGAGGTGCGTACGCGGACGCTAACGAGTTTTAATGGACTCTCGTCCCGAATGCTCTTCTACGTCGACGAAGAGGCAGAGTGGCGCATTGGCAGCTCGCGTCAATCAGATAGCAACGACGAAACGCGCGGACAGAGGGTCGTTCAAGTGCCGATAGCCTCCGATCCGGCTTCCTGCTTTAATTTAATTGGACGATCGCCAGTCGCGCGTGCCACCTGATAAATAATTAACGCGTCTGGTCCGGATCGATTATCAAACTGCCCTCCACGTGGATGAGGGATGGCTAGAACTCTCGATACCAGGGTTAGAGGAGATTCTCCGATTGTCCGTCACTAAACTTCCTCCTCTCTTGCTACATTTACTTAATCGACCCCTTCTTTTATTCTCTATTTATTACACTGCCTTTTATGACTGCACGAACAGAAGACATAGAAGCAGTAGAATTTACTATAATAACAAGGTTAACCCTTACCGAAGATAATTTGCAAACAGCAACTTTAAAACTTTGTTAAAAAGTTAAATGAATTCTTTTGAGGTTTTGTTATTTCTCTACTAATAATTTCCAGTGTTTGTTTCACTATGTTTATACGTCACATGTGTCACATTATAGAAGCAGTTAACCCTTTGCACTCCTTCATTCACAAAATAGATCTGAATGAAATGTATTGCAACAGAGTGAGGCATGTGACAAATATATTTGTTCTTTATTATAAATAGTAAACAAATGAAAATATGTATATTCAAATAATCCATTTATCTGAATTATTTGTGAGATCCAAGAGGAATGTTATCAGGAGTGCAAAGGGTTAAAAATTGCTCATTTAAATTATTGGTGTTAATAAAAACACTAGCGAAATTACAGCGTCTACCGAGTATATCGCAGTGCATGTTTTCGCGAGTTTGTAGAATCATGCAGTGTGTCTTGTAAAGCATCGTAGACGTGGCTCGTCGCGTGTCTATCGGTCGTCTGGAACCTAAATGGGTCTAATTAGTTTCTAAAGGACTTGTACCGTGTACACGGCGTGTACTGTGTGTCCGGTGGAGGAACAGCAATTATTTCTTCATCGGGTCGACTCGGCTGGCAGCGCAGCGTGCACGTTTCGCACATTTAGTTTATTATCATTGATACACGAGCAACAGTGATTGTGGTAGGGGCACAAATTCGTTTTTAAGAACCGGCCAATTTTCGATGTCGGCCGTTTCACGGCCGGTTCATTATAATTACGAATGCAAATTGCGACGGTAATCGAGGAAGGAAAAATTGATCCCGATTACAATCAATAATTGTAGCAGATCGAGCACGGTTCATTATCTATGATACGATTACGAGCGAGAGTCCGGTTTCCGAGCGTCGTTAAGACTGCGAATTATGAGAATATGATGGCCGAGAATGCTTAAGGAACAGAGCATGAATTATCGCGTTAAATCGAAATGACTTCGTTAATCGACCACTCGGAAATAAAAATTAATATCTCGTCGAATACCGTTAATGGAAGCTTCGCAAAATGTTCGCGAAAATGAACGAAAATTCTTGTGTCGGAATAAAGAGCTGAAAGGTTTGCAATTCGATTAAATGTATTGGCACTTTCAAAACTATTAGAAATCGTTGACATCACGTATCTTGCACTTTTCTTCTATTCTGCTATTTTACCTTTCTATTTTACAAATTATGATCCTGTTGTTATAAACAATTTAAAATCGAACCATTTCAATTTAAAAATCTTTAACTACTAACCTGAAATCACCGATACTCTCGTTATACGTTATTCATTATTTTTCTATCTACAATCTCCGCTGCTCGAATATTTCTAACAAGGCGAATAAAAAAATTCTGTTGATACGGTGGATGGACTGCCATGAAAATTCAATCGAGCAACATTTTTGACGCATCCTGTATAAAATTGAATATAAATATCCACGATACGATACACCGGTTTTAGTGTACACGCGTTTAATTATTCACGGTTTACCTCGTTCCTCTGGAAAATAAAAATTGATACGTGGTAATGAATGCTAATGAGAGCGTGCGGAATGAATAATGGGGGAACTGACATGTGAACGGGTGAAAAAAGACAGACATCGAAAACGAGGGAACAAATGGTTCTGTTATTGTAAGAACAGAAGAACAGGTTAGCTCGCACGTATCGTAATATTTGTACATGATCAAAACGTACGGATTAAATTTTATACATGAGAAGCTTTGATCTGGATAATGGATTTCTATATTTATTAAAAATTGTTGATATCTTCTCATTGAAAAATGAAAGTATAACTACGTAGTGCAAACTATAACTCTTTTTTATATACCTTGTTTTATTTTTTATGTAGTAAAAAAGTAAAAATTATAACTAGAAAGAAAAGGAAAGGTAAAAATATTGTTTAAGAACAGTGATGATTTAATAGCTGAAGAAGCGAATAAAGATTATCGTTAGGTTAGGTTGATATTTTCCTTCTCATTAAAAAACATGAAAAAGAAAAGTGTAACTATGTAGTGAGAACTATAACCTTTTTTTTAAATACCTTGTTTTATTTTTTATGTAGTAAAAAAGTAAAAATTATAACTAGAAAGAAAACGACAGATAAAAAAATTGTTTAAGAACAGTGATGATTTAATAGCTGAAGAAGCGAATAAAGATTATCGTTAGGTTAGGTTGATATTTTCCATCTCATTAAAAAACATGAAAGTAAAAGAAAAGTGTAACTATGTAGTGAAAACTATACCTTTTTTTTTCATATACTTTGTTTAAAGTAAAAACTATAACTAGAAAAAAAACGACAGGTAAAAAAATTGTCGAAGAACAGTGATGATTTAATAGCTGAAGAAGCGAATAAAGAAAAGGACCCGTTCGAAACCGCAACGAAAATTTCGCTCACCAATAAAATAAAAAGACACCGTCCAAGAATCTCGAGGTCCATAAAATCTGTGTTCCGCTTACGATCTCCGATGTCAATTACAAAAGAGCAACGCGTGTAACGTGTGTTCGCGAATTACCGTTCGCGCACACCTATCGACGCCTCTCTCGATATCTTCTCGCTATAAACGGCGCGTCTTACGACCAAAGGACCCAGCCAATTTCCGTTCTCCGCTCCGAACCGGAATAAGCGAACACCACGATCGATATACTCGCACGTACACGCGTGTAGCCAGCGATCGTGGCGATTACACGGGAGAGCGTATCGCGTAAAATTGCTTAAACGTAGGAGAAGGGCTCGCCATTACGAGGTAGCCATTAAACGTAATGTACGAGCGGGTAATACGTGCTCGAACAACATCGCCGGACTACTTTTCGGCATCGGTGCCGATTCTACCGATCGGCACTACGTGGCGATAATTTATATGTACACGCTCTCGTCGGAAAACGAGTAATGTATGTATACAGCCGATCAAACGATACCGAATGAAGTACTTCATTTTTGTGCACTGCCGTCAGGTCGTAATAGTCTAATTATATGGGAACTCGCTCTTTTTCATTTTCCTTTTAGCTTCGAGGTTATGAGACAACTGTTCAGGTCAAACTTGTCCAGGTTTAACGAATAAGTTTGTAGTCTATGACGTCTATGATACAACCGATCGCACGATACCGAATGAAGTACTTCATTTTTGTGCACTGCCGTCAGATCGTAATTTTTTAATTATATGGAACTCGCTCTTTTTCATTTTCCTTTTAGTTTCGAGGGTTATGAGACAACTGTTCAGGTCAAACTTGTCCAGGTTTAACGATTAAGTTCGTAGTCTATGACGAGGGGAAGATTCATTACTCAGTTTCTAAGATTTAGAGATTTGTGGATTTAGATACTTGGAACTCAAAGAATTTGAGAAACTGAAATCTTCACGATTTATAGACTCAAAAACAAAACACAAGTCAGGTTTTTAGTTCAGCCTTTTAGTTTCAAGGGTTACGAGGAAACCTGACAAGTCTAACCTGTCCAGGTTTAACAATTAATAAGTTTGAAGTCTATGACCAGAGGAGGATTCATTACTCAGCTTCTAAGATTTAGAGATTTGTGGATTTGGGTACTTGGAACTCAAAGAATATGAGAAACTGCAAACTTCATGATTTATAAACTCAAGATCTAAAACGCAAGTCAGGATACACTTCGTGAAAGTGTGATATCTAATAAGCAATTAAACAGTGAAGGGTATATAGAGAAGTATTGAAAGGGCCGCAATACGTTTTCGCAGCGTGAGTACTCGCGCGAAGTTGCGAAGCTTCTTCCGACTGCCATAAAGTCCGCTCGTAAAGCCACGGAACAGGACTAAATACTTGGCGAGGTAACTTCGCGCAGTACAAACAGAATTCGCGGTACGTTCTGTTTTTTTCGTTTTTTATTTTCCTCTCGAGTGAAGAGGTAGACGAGGAAGCGTAATGGCGGTGGTATGCGGCCCGTGTTTTGCGAGGGGCCGAGTTCCAAAGAGGTGCATTATGAGTTCCAGATAAGAGTTCACACGCGGCTGGCATCCGGGCATCGCGGAGAACCCCTTAACAAATAACTTAACCGTATAAAGGAGCGCTTTAATCCTCGCCATGTCTGCCCGTAAAGGAGGAAATCGACTGACAGTAACGACAGTTCGATCGTAACGGGCAAAGAATGTTAAAGTATGCTCCGCCACGAATAGTATCGTCTGCTTATGCCGATCTCACCGGGCATCGCTCGACTGCATTCCTCTACTAGATTCCTGAATCGAATACCATCCTGGAATTAGATGAAAAAGTATGCTGAGACGATAGGATTTAATATGCCGTAATTGCTGTTCGGCATGGGGAGCGAACTTTTTGGTACGCGATTGCCCAATTTGTTTCTGCGTTCCCTCTTTTTTCACAAAAAACATAATCATTTAAATTAGGTGTACTCTACACGATGAATA